TTGTTCCGGTCTGATGATTTTGTGCAGAGTTATAGTCCTTGGACTTAGAAAATTCACTCAAATAATCAGTTTTCCACACTTTTTTCCATCATGCTTGAAGATATTGATTTGATAATTGGTATATAGTTTTATCATGACAAGTTACAGACCAAGTTTGAATTTTGTTTTGGTTTGATGATTTTTTGCAGAGTTATGGTCCTTGGACTTGGAAAATTCACTTAAATTATCAGTTTTCCGCACTTTTTTTCGTCATGCTTGAAGATATTGACTTGATATTTGTTAAATAGTTTACACCATGACAAGTTATAGATCAAGTAAGCATTTTGTTCCAGTACAATTAATTTTTAATCGGTAGGGGACTATGTATTGCCATGCAATACTCTCAGAATGCTTGTTATATATGTAGCTCCATAATAGCCCAATGTACCTTCATTTTCCAATGCAGGTGGTAGTCCAAATTTTCGGGCTTTCATCCTGGATGTCTCCTATTACTGGATCTCCTTTAGTATTGTATGTACATATGTATGTATTGTTAATTTGTTCTGGTACTGAACTGATGATGATGCATGAAATAAGTTGTTAAGCCTTGTATTTTAAATTTGGAAATATTACTTAATGGTTTTAGAAATATTATATCACACCCAATGCCATGGTAGTATATATATATATATATTGATTTAATTTATTAAAAGAGGATGTCTGGTTCAACATGTTTTCTGTTTTAACTTATAACTGTTAATTGGTAATGTCTTATGACAAGGTGTTAAAATATAAAAATGATTATTTGTGGATAGAACTTCATCTACGCAAGAAAGTTACTGGTATATTAGTATAACCTCCCTGGTGCATGTTTAAGGTATGTGTCTTATTATATCAGTAGGTTTTAGGAGGAATAGAACAAACTATCTTACACATGTAATTTTACAAAATAATTTCAGGATTCTTGATTGTCCAAGTAATAAAAAAAAATATCAAGAGTGAACAGGCAATTGTTTTTGTTTTATATGAGTATATCTTTATCTAGCCTACAGTCAAGTTGCAGAAGCAAGACTTGCTCATTGTTGAGGGCTGTATGGTGACCTATTGTTGCTTACTTCTACATTGTTTTGGTCTATGGTGGAGAGTTGTCTCATTAAGTATCGTACCATATCTTCTTATTTTTATTTTAGGTGTGCTGTTTTCAGCGGCATCAATTGTTAAAATTTCTGATTTGGTCCATTTACAGGAAATCTGAGTAATAGTATTAACCTAATAATATTTGGTATGCAGTTGTATACCGTTACCCCCTCCCGCCCCCTCCTCTTCAGTCAGTGTCCTATGACTTTTAGAGTTTTGCATGTTTTCATGTTAACTTAGTGCTATTTAGTGTGGATCATTAATATTTGTGGGATATCAATTTTCATGGATTTCATTGTTACACTGGTGAACCACAAATTTTAATGTCCAACTATACAATATACAAAGTTTACACAGGCTTATATTCATACTGACTTTGGCAAAACCACAAAATCAAATATCCATGTGATGAAAATGCAAGTTTTCCTCAATCCACTTATATAATTTATTTTGGTTGCCCACGAAAATAAATGAATCCACACTTATTCCACAGTATTTACATACCATAAATAATCTTCAAATTACAGACTTCATCTCTTTGTCTACAGATGTTGATTGGGTTTTTTTTGTAGAGAAATGTGTTTATAAAGTTTAGAAATGAACTTTTGTTTTATTGATAATGACAAAAAATGCAAATAAAGTAAAAAGAATTAAGAGTTTATACATGTATGTAAGATGAAGAAAATTATAAGCAAACCTAAGAATATTTGTATTATGGCCAACTGTGAATTCATTCATTTTCATGGATACCAATTTTCGAGGATTGAGGAAAAATTGAAGTTTGGTTGATATTTGATTTCAGGGTTTTGCCAAAATGTGCATATAAACCTATATTAAATTTGTATTTCCTTGAATATGTAGATTTGTGGTTTTTCTATATATATATATAGATACCAACGAAAATCGATATTCCACGAATAATAATGAATCTACAGTAAATGCATCCATATGTATACAATATAAGCATGATAAGTTTTAAACAAGTCTAAATTGAAAACAACGTTCAAACCTATAATTGTGTTGGATAAAAACCGCAATTTTTATACATGTGCACGCATAACAAATTTCTTGGTAAAGGGGTCTAAATACAGCACAAACAACATTTTCCAAAAGACCAAAAAAGTGACAAAGTATATTTTAACAAAAAGCATTTGACTAGCAGGTCGAACAACGGATGTTCTTAATCCCTGCTGACTGCCATTGACGATTGCCAAATAAAATGATCACCAGATTTAACAAAATGGATCGTAAATATTAATTTAATATCAAACAGAAAACAATGAACTTGCGGAAAAGATGGTATACCGCAAACAAAAGGTGCAAAAATTAGTACACCATATCCCGATTTCGACAATTAATGTCTCTTCAGTGATGTTAGGAATAGAAACGGTATTTGGAAGACCTTATAATTTACCTCAATTTAGGATAGACTCTTGAATTTTGAAGAGTCGAAATAGGATGAACGGATCATATAAACCCGAAGGCAAATATAATACAAGCCCAAACAAAAAAATATAAACAAGTCTAAATTGAAAACAACGTTCAAACCTATGATTGCATTGGATAAAAACCACAATTTTTATACCTGTGCATGCAAACAAATTTCTTGGTAAAGGGGTCTAAATACAACACAAACAATATATACCGTATATATATTAAATCATGTCAAAATGCCAGATTTTAATTGGTTAATACGAGGGAGACAATTTACTCTATCCCATGGCTAATACTCTATTACCCTTCATGGAGACGCTTGCTCAAGCGTGCGCCTAAATAAATAGGATGATTGTCATGTACAAGATGTCATAGTTTATTACTTTGAATTTTGAAATTTAATAGACAGTAATATAAACAGAACATTCAGTATAATAAATTAAATAACACATATCTGCGAGGGTGATCCCTTGAAAAGACATTGTCAACCTTGGCTTCGCCTCAGTTGACATTGTTTTCGCGGGGTAACAATCTGCTCTATCACCCTCTCAGCTATACATGTATGTTATTTATATAATAACACCTTATAGGTTTGAATTTAAATCTGCATAAACATATTCATTTCTTTCAAACATATCTACAAGAATGGCATAAAGGACTAAATAGTAATATTATTAGTATCCTGATTCAGCTTCCAATTGATAGCGTAAGGTTAACAAACACGACAAAGCATCATTTGAAGACTTCTTTGAAAGAGACATGGAAATTAAAGTCAAATGGTAGTTCATGTTTCATGTCAGATAGTCATTTACTGAGACAGATTATTAACCTTAATTTAATTTATTTTGTTCGCACATGTCAGTTGCAGAGTTTCACTTACTTTGTTTTATCCTATAGATCAAGGACCTTGGTCATAAAACTTAACTCAGTTTTCAGAGTACAAATGTGTGCTTGAAACACCAAATCCAGCTTTTTGATTTGTTGAATTATATTTTCCAAGTCTGTGTGTTATAATCCTACTCCAAATTTTTGTGACAGCAAGGCCAGATACCCTTTATTCAATATTCATAAATTCCTATGTGAATAAAATATGTATATTCTCATGTAATTATCATCTCCTTATAGGACTTTCTAGAAAAAAACACTTTGGAAAGCCTGAATCTGATATAAAAATTACAATTGACAAATGATTGAATACAAGTTATCTCCCTTGTTTGGAATTATACTGGTTAAAATACTGGTTTGCTGCAGTGCAGAGCAATGATGAGAAGTAAATAGAAAACAATATTTGTTACTTAAATTTACAAACATTTCCAGCTTTATATTGAGTTTGATTGCATGAATGTTAAAAAGCAAAAGACCAATTGGAAAACCAAATATTCTTTTTAAATCAACAGGGATTAGAAACTACTTTCAGTTGACTCATTAGTAGAGTCATTGCAGTGAACCAGTGCTACTTTCCATCAATGGAAATATTATAATTATGAATTTAGAGTAGAATTCTTGATTTTGAGCATGGGGTATTATATTCAAATGATTGTGTTCATCACTTATCATTTTGGTGTCTCTCTTTGGTCTACTAATCTGTCATGTATGTATACATGAAACAATTTTGATTTGTACGAAAAACAAATATTCATTAAACGATAATCATGATAATTAAATTTGTATTTCAAAACAAAAACAAAAACAAATTTTTTCGTATTTGGAATTTGATGTTAAAAATCAAGCAAGCTTGAGTGGGGGCATTGTGTCCTCAGACACCTTCTTTTATTTTCATTATCAAAATGTAGACAGTTTTCCCATTGACAAGATAAATATGAAAGTGGCTTAAGCTAACATGGCTTAGAAACCTCTTTAAGAAATAATTGACTTGGGGAAATCAAATTATTTAATCACTGATAAAGAGTTGGAAAAACAGGATACAATCATTAAATATTTTTTTTTATTGCCTTTACACATTTGGGATGCTGAGGAGTGTAATTTTTATGTGATTGGACAGTTCAATTTAAAATTCTGTTATGTTTTTCCAAGAAAATTAGTCATAAATATTGAATTTGTCTGAGAGGGTATTTTCATTATTTTATCATCAGTGCAAATAAGCATTTGTATTACGTAATGTAACGAAGGTTGAACATGAAGCAATTTTGCTAAAGACTAGTTTTAGTCTAATTGAATTTGTATAATTTCTGTAAATTTCTGTAATTTCTGTAATTTCTGTAAAACTTTGTGGTTGTTATGAGTTAGATGAATTGATTACATAAACAAAACAATTTCATTGCTTATAGAATTTGTTACTGACTGAGATATATATATACTTATTATTGATTTAGAAGTCGGTGTACAAGAATGGAATAATTTTTATTGTAGAATAAATAACAGTTGATTATCAGAAAACTTCATCATGATAGCTTAAGTTATATAATATCCACTTCTTTCTGTTTTTACAGAACATTATGAAGGTCCTTATGCAAACAAACAAGGAGAAGAGTCGTTTGTATAAAGGTGATTGTCAACACACAATGACACAGAATTGCTTAAAGTCCTGATTTTGTAGAAGCTTGGAGGTCGTAATGGCTGCGAGACCAGACTTAAAGGAGTTGGAAAATTCGTCGATTCATATCATAAGTGAAAATGTTGAAACCCCTGGTGGTATTAGTGTCGGCCAGCAGTCTTCAGTCAGTGATTTTTCTGTCGGAAGTCAAAGTCAGTTCTTGAGAGGCAAAACAGAAAAAGATGAATATGTCAAATCATGTCTTCAAGTTGATATTGAGGTCGTTGACGAAATAGAAGAAGATAAGCCTTGTGGGATAGGAAAATGTCGACCAAATGGACTTCAGACCTGCGCCAATATAAAAACGTTTGTTACGTGTATGTGTCTTTTGATGGTGACAACAGGAACTATGTCAACAGGCTACTTTAACAGTGTGATAACAACTATAGAAAAACGATTCGAAATTGGCAGTTCCATATCTGGCTTAATTGTTGCATCTTACGAATTTGGTTCTCTAGTGACTGTTATTTTTATTAGTTATTTAGGTGGAAGACGTCACATTCCAAAATGGATCAGTTACGGAATTTTCCTAATGTCACTTGGGGCATTCCTTTTTGCATTGCCACATATCATTGCCAAAAAGTATACAGTTCACCGCGGAATTTCATCCAATGAAACGGAAGAAAATATTTGTAAAGTGGTTGATGACTTGAGTAATGGACAATATAAAGAGAAGTGTATCGGCGAGACTTCAGGGAACTGGGTTTACGTGTTGATTCTGATATCTGCTCAGGTGTTGATAGGGACTGGAGGAACACCAGTGTTGACTCTTGGAACAACTTATGTTGACAATCATGTTCCTAAAGATAAGGCACCAGCATATCTAGGTAAGACAGGGAACCAGCATATTACTCTATAAAATTATCTCCTCCTTTCTAACAGGAGCACCTGAGATCACCCCCAGTTTTTGGTGTGGTTTGTGTTGCTCAGTCTTATGTTGTGTTTTGTGTACTATTGTTTGTCTGTTGGTCTTTTCCTTTTTTAGCCATGGCGTTGTCAGTTTATTTTCGACTTATGAGTTTGAATGTACCCTTTGGTATCTTTCACCCCTCTTCTAGGAGGTGTGATGTATATGAGCTAGAGAAAAAAGAACAGTATGAAAAATAAAATGTAACTTATAAGACATATAATGTACATGTACCAGAAAGCTCTGTGTATGCAATGTGGCTTTACATTATTGTTATTATTTTAATTGGCAACACTTCATTTAAGCACTATTTTTCCAATAATTCCGACATTTAAATAGCAAACAATAAAATCATGCATGGAAAAACCTATATTTGATAAAAGCTATGACAGAGCCAATAGTTCATGTAGTTATCAAGTACAAATATGTATCATTTGTGAGATACCATGCATTAACTGAAATTTTCTCATGCATTGTCATGTGGACACCATTAACTTTATTACATGACTGTGGATATAAAGAGATATTGAGCAAACATTACAAAGATTCCCCCCTCCCCCGACCTGTTTGAAAGGAATAAGCAAAATACACAGCTACAAAATGTTAGGGGGGTTCAATTGGAAGTCTTGCCTCTTACCGTTAGTCTTTAGAGATACAATAGATTCAAAATAATACATTTATATCATCTTTATGCCCATATCAGATTAAGAACATTCCAAGAAATTAATTTTATGAGGTAAATGCTTTTTATCAACCTTCATGACAAAAGCTCTTTAAAGTATTTGCAAGCATTGCAGAAGTCATTACTATAATTTAGGAGCATACTCCCTTGATGTCATCACTGTACTTAAGTACTTGATTATTACACTGTAGCTTAGTACAATACCATGAATACATGCATGATGATGATGTAATTCACATTTTCTAATGGTTTTTTTTAAAAGGCAAAAATAACAAATATTTAAACCCAGTAACTTCTCCAGAAAAATTACCATTGCTCCCTAATCTCTTCTGGACGGAGAAGTCACTTTTCCTTCTCAGAAATCCTAAATAAGGCCCTGATCATGTATTAATCTGATTGTTGTATTTTGCAGCTTTTATATATGCATCTGGAGTATTAGGTCCAGTATTAGGCTATGCCTTAGGAGCTCTGTTACTACAGTACTACGTCGACGTGTTCAGTTATATTGTCAACATTCGTCCATCAGATCCGCAGTGGATAGGTGCTTGGTGGAGTGGATTCATTATCTGTGGAATTCTGCTGTTTGTTCTTGCCTTTCCTTTTCTGTCATTTCCACGAATTTTGGTTGAGGAGAAAAGAAAAATCTTGGAAGTGAAAACTAAAGAAGAATTGTTGAATCAGGATGATAGGACTTCTAAACATGGGGAGGAGTATGGTAAAACTATCAGAGGTAGGTTACATTGAATGAATTATTTCCCCTTTGGACAGCAGGACTAACTTAGGACATTAAAATTTTATGTCAAATTAAGTGTCAATATAAAAATAAGGAGATGTGGTATGATTGCCAATGAGACAACTATCTATCAGAGTTTAAATAGTGGATATAAGCCAATATAGGTCACTGTACGGCATTCAACATTGTTGAATCAACAATGAGAAAACCAATACTGTAAATTCGGTTATTTAAAGACCAAACAGCCTATACAGTTCTACCAGTGATTTTTCCTTAAAATTTTGTGTGAAGGTATTTCATGATTTAAGGAACAAAATATGATAAAAAAAATTGGGGGTCACCGACTTAGTTTTGTCACTATAGCAACCTCAGTTTCGTGTTTTCCCGAATATTAACAAAATATTTGCTTGTTATTTAAACTCTCAAAAAATCCCATTATATCAAACCTACAAGCATAATTCTTGTTTCATGATAAACAGTGGATTTGTGTCTATCAAATACAGGTTCAAGAGTTTAAGACTTTTATTGTTTTGATCTTTAAAAAAATGATTTATTTCATTCCCGCCAAAAATAAAACGCAAGAATGAAAAATGTTTCAAGTATTAAAAAATATCTACCAGTGATTTTTTCATAAAAATTTCAAGAAGGAAAGTGCCATGTGTACTCTTCAAAATAAAGCAAAAAAATGTATATGTCACCGACCTTTCAAAAAAGTTATTATTAATTTTCATGTTTTTTTCTCGTTCGTTTTGAAGAAAAGAGTTGTCTTTCTTCAGAACATTGAATCTGACGTCATAGTACAAGTTTACCTTGCTGGCGCACTGTGTGAAAAAAATTGCAAATTGGACGTTTGAAACCCACATTTTAATTTTCAAGAATCAAGAATAACAACTATATTCACCTACTTTATTATCCGGTAATACAAGAGATCACATGTATGTATCAGTATCAGATCTCATGATGTTGTTGCCGCACAAAATTAACCTTCAGAAACACCATCCGTCGGAATGAAAAATTGTTCGAAATAACCTTTTACGACGCTTAAGAAAGGAAAGTCTGTTTTTGTCCTCTCCCTCTCATTAGCAAATTCATTGAAAATAAAAAGAGAAATGAAAGATGACACTGGCTAACTTACAGACTATTTGACTATATTAGACTAGATGTGTGGGTTTTTTTGTCGCGTCAATTTCAGAACTTCGCCCTAGCGCACTCTTTCGCTACTGTTGACAGACGGACAGACATTAGCACGGACGGACTTCTTTATACCATTATGTGTCCCGACTAAGACGAGCGTATACAAATTATTCCATCTAGTTTGTGGATTAATTATTTCTGCAAATTTAAAATATAAGAAAATTAAAATTATAAGTATAATATATGAATTAAAGTTTTACATCCATTTAACCTATCATAAAATACGATCCCCGTTATTACTACCTCACGTGTTTTGAATAAACGAGACAGTAAATATATAATACAAATAAGTTTTTAATTCAAAAAATGATTTAGAATTTAAGAAATAATTTTCCGTTGAAAACTATAAAGTATTTCTCAAAACAGGATGAAATATTATGAATCTAAATAGCTCGTTTTGGAAATTAAATCAAAGACAAGGTTGTATGTATAGATTGCCGGCCGAAACTTGTTTTCAATCTTTCCAGTCATTGTAGCTTTTTGAAAGTGAGAAATTTTATGTTGGATCTTATTCTTGAAGCAATTGTTTTTGTCATAAGTTAAATTTACAACAAGTTTAGTTTTAAAAACCGTAAATTTTTATTTTAATTCACATTCACTGAGTATATAAATTTCTTATATTTTTTGCCTTAAGCTTCTGTGAGATCAGGCGAAATCTTTATCATTTCTCCTTGAGACAATTTGAAATGAAACAAATGACAAAAGACAATGAACCTTTATCATTTTTATTTTTACTATAAGATTTTGTCAATTAAGCAGTATAGATAAAATTTAACTTCATTGCAAGATCACCATTATTTTACGAGAGTCTTAAAGAAATAAGTTAATCTCAACATGCATACGTTGCCAATATATAGAAACTTCTAGAAAGTATTGTTTATCGGCCTAACCTTCTGAAAACTCAGTTTTGAAAATCACATATTAAGTTAAAATTCTAAGCGTAAGTCATATAAATTTACCAGTGTAAAGTTACACGGGCGTACGAGATTTGCGCCAATTAAAAAAAAAATCGATCTTTAATTTGCGCCGATTTGATTCTTTGAATTTCATTAGCGCCTATTTTATTTTTTTTATCACTAGCCCCGATACTTTATTTGCTATACGAATAAATACATGTACATGTAGTAAACCTAGAATGTATATTGCATGGTAATATATGGATATAAATAGTGTTCCCTTATGTTTGAGATAATTTTGGTCATATTGTTCGAGAACTTCGTTTTGGCACGAGAATGAAAAGATGGACTTCGTTATTGGCAAGTGCAACAAGTATAGAAAAGATAAAATGACAAGAAAGGAATATATCATATGTATGGCATATAAATTCTCGGCAAGATAATAATTCATTGTACTAGTATTACATTTTTATGGATTTTATTGTGGTGCTTTGAAATGCTGTAAATAGATTTTACTCCGTGATATTAGTAGATGTAAACAGAGTGCACAAATATCTTTTAAATTGACTTATCCTGCTCGACATTCTACTCCCACCTCCCCTTTGTGAGCAGGGGACAACAGTTATATACATGTTATAATTGACAATTCATAACATATGTACAAGTGGCTAACGGAAGAGGTTTATATGATAAATAAAAAAATAACTTTCACCTATAATTTACCTGTACACAATCGGCGCAAGTGAAAGAAAAAAAGTGAAATGCAGATCGGCGCAAATGCAAAAAAACCGAGTTCAAAATTTTTATAGAATAACTAATGGAAGAATTCAAATAGAGAAAAATATTCAACGAGTGACCGAACAACACATTAATTCACGAATGCGCGTAGCGCATGAGTTAATTATCAGTGTTGCTCGGTCACGAGTTGAATATTTTTCGATATTTGAATTCTTTGATTAGTTATTCTTTTTATTACATTGGCAAATGTCTTTTTTTATGAAATTAAAGTAGAAAATGTAAGGAACTATATCTTTTTCTACGCATTCACAATTTGTTTTGATCCGACGTTATCGACGTCTTGACAACGCCTATTGTTGTATGACGTCAGAGGAGTGAAATAACCACGTTTATTTCACATGTGAAATTATCGGTTTTTATTTCACTGGGAAATCAATGTAATTCATTGCAACCAATGTAATAAATATTTTTATTATTATTTTTATTAGAACGGAGGTTACAGATAGTGTAGTATCTTTTGTGTCCATTTGTGTTTAATTTCCACTAGGTATCAGTACGACGCTTAATTCCACTTTTCTTGGAAGACGCAGTTTTAAGGGCATACGATACAGTAGCAGGGGCAGATAATTACGTTTTCAAAACTTTTCGTGTTGTTTTCGCGACGTTGGTAATCAGAACGTTGTAATTTCGCGATGTTTCTAATAAGAACGATTACATTTGGAGACGTCGCTTCAGATGTATTCACATTTGCGGAAAATCCACTGACGTCATAATCCCGATTGCGCGAATTTGAAAAAAGTACCTGCAATGAAAATCGGCCAAATCACGAGAATTGTTATATTTATTCATTAATAAGGAAGTCAACAATATTAACTTCGAATCGGGAAAAAAAATCAAATCCACATTCTTAGTTTGTATGTCTGTTGTTTCATATAGGAAATGAATACGAGATATGTAAAACATAAGATGTCGATGAGAGAGAAACCCAAAAACACAAATAAAAACAATAAGTAATGTATATAGTAACTTTACCATTTGGCAAACTCTAAATCGTAATTAGAATTGTACGGATAAACAGAGACTATCAACAAAATGACAAAAACGTAATAAATAATGACAGCGCACCATACTGTTCCTGACTTTGGAAAGATACATTAAAGAGTTTAACGGCATTTTTTAGAATTTAACCCAGTGGAATATATATATGTGTATGAAGAAACTGTCAGTTAAAATGACACAGTTATAAGCCCCGTATTATAGACCAAAAACAAAAACGCACCCGTTGATGTGCTAAGCATATCCCCATATGTCATATTGAGAGAGTAAAATCGGCACACAGGAATTAGGTATTTGACAGACCAGAGTTGCAACTCATTGATGTTAAGTTACTGAACAAATACGAAGTCTTTTTGTAATGTAATTTCTCAGATAGGAAACAAAATATTTGTTAGACCGGACAAACAATGTGGTTGCACTCACTCCTAGATTGAAGGTATAATATAGACAAGTAATTCAATGATTATATGTACCGTAATAAAAAAATACCCTGAAGACAAGCTTAGGTAACTTATTTATTGATACAGAATCATTAAATTTCATGCTCTAATATCGACTGCTGTACTTCCTATGAAATGTTATACTACACTGTAATCAGGTAATGGACTAATCTAAGCTAACCCGATTTAATGTGGGTATGATTTTGTGTTCATGTAATGCCTATAGAGTAGGTCGTTAGTTTTCTTGTTTGAATTATTTCACATTTTCATGTCGGGGCTTTTTAAAGCTGACTATACGGTGTGGCTTTTTCTTTTTTCTTTTTTTTTTGTGTTGAAGGCTGCAGGGTGACCTTTAATAGCGTTTATCTTCGTCATTTGAACTATGGTTGATAGTTGTCTCTTTTGCAATCATACCAAATGCCCTTATTTTTATATTATCCCCCTTACTTTATAGTTGTTGCACATTTTGTCATGTCGGGGCTCTTGAATAATTAAAACTATGCTAAAGCTGTGTTGTCTACATGAATTGTATGACTAATATCGGACAGAGATGCAAATTAAATTTTTTATTAGATGTATCTGTTTTGTTTCCGAACATTTCTTTTCTAAAAGTTATTTACTAGAATACTTTTTCTATCCAAGTTTCGTAACAATTCATAAAGGTTTGGCAAAT